AACAGCTAAAATTTAAAAGACCGTCAGTACCTAGTATTGGACAAGAAATGGAGCAACTGCAACTTTCATGCATTGCTGGGGGTGTAAACCAGTACAACCACCTTGGAAAACAGGAATTACTTATGAATGTTGAACAGTATTTCACTTCTGGGTATTTGTCCCACAAAAATGTATGCACGCGACAGTGAAAGATGTGCATAAGAAGGACAAAAAGAGTCTCAAATATTCATCAACACATGAATGAATAAACAAATGGTGGTGTATCTCCACAAGGAAATATTACAAAGCAATGAAAATGAAATAATATGGACAAATCTCGTAATTGTAACATTGAAAGAAGCAAAAAGGAATATATGATATTTTATTTAATTAGCATTCAGTTCCAGATGAACAAGATTATGTCCCTGAAAATGAAGGAAGAGGTGGTAACTGGGAGTGAACACAGGGGGCTTCTGGGAGTCCTACTAATGGCCTATCTCTTGACTTTGGGGATGGTTACACAGGTGAATTCACTTTGTGGCAATTTGCCAAGCTATACACTTAAGATCTGTGCCCTTCTGCATGTAAGGCACATATCAATCAAAAAGTTAAGACATCTGCCCAAACATGAATGACTTCGTGGTAGGAGTGTCCCACAGGTCAGTAAAAGATTCCAAGGGTCTGCCAATCCAATTATCTCAGTTTTACTTAAATTACCCCAAGCCTCATGAAAAAAGTTTGAAAATCACCATTTCAGTGGGATACTACCACTAAAAAAGTGATGACAACAGCAAAGATGCTCTAGCTGAGGTGCTCATTCCCAAGGGGAACAGAACCAGGACTGCTGTGTTTGCAGACATGAGGCACGAACACCATTGCCCTGACTGGCTAGAATTACAGTGAGCACAAACAATGGGTCACCAGTAGAGAAGAGGGAGGGGGAGGTCTAAGTCATACAATAAAAAACGGTTAACTTTGAGTTTTTCCTTCTTTAAATTTTACTTTTAGTTCTCTTTAAATTTTCTTTTTAATTCTGCAATGTGTTTTGCTTTTAAGTTAACAGAAACTGGCCAGAACAACACAACAGATAATCTGATGAATTCTCACACTGAGAAAATAACTAGAGAATGAAGCCAGTGCAGTGGAATGTTGACTGTACGATAATAGCTTTGTATGGTGGTATTATAAATATTGAAAATATATATGAAACTAAGATTGTCTTACAAGCAATGAATAAACTTAAAGTTTATAGATCCCCCCTACAGAACACACACACGCATGCACACACATACACATACCATAGGTTACATGTGGCACAAGTTAAGTCCTGTTTGACAAAGACTGGGATTCTGGCCATTGGGATGAGGGGGGAGGGAGAAGAGTCCAAGCACTCAAGGATGACTGGTGAAGCGGGCCCACTTGAAGCACTCTTCTCCTCTGATTCTTTCCCACTGGGAAGACCTACTGACCCACCTCAATATTCAGCAGGATTTGTGACCATGGTCCAAATGTGACTTGAGGCTAAGAGCAATCATGAAAAATTGTAGAGGGAAGAGATCAACTATACCCAAATGAACTGTAATAATTACCCATGCTACACTAGGAAAAGTCAGGAAAGACTACGTACAGATTTGCAAGTACTTGACAAGGAAGGAAAATACCAGTTTGGGTCATGTGGCACTGGTAGCCATGGTGAGGCCTCATCTGAGACATGGTGTTCAATGCATTAAGTGTAGGACAAACTCCAATGGTTTGCTGGGTTGGCTGGTTTAGATCTGAGCCTAGCACTGGCCCTTCCTGCAGAAGAAGTAACTGACAGTAAAAAGATGCAGGAAGAGAAGCAGAGACTGAGAGAATGGCAGGAACGTGGACAATCTAAGGCACATTCATGCTGCCGAGGGGCCACAGGGTGACACAGTTCGCAGAGCTGCTTTGCAACCTGAATGGATGCTGGTGTGTCCTGGATTTCCATCAGACTCCTCTCCCTACATCCACATGTATCCTCACTCAAGACAAAGCAAAATGTTACTGAAGACAGGATGTGGTCACAGTCTGTCCCCTGGAGCCAGAGCAGACGGAGAACTGAAAAGTAGAGCGTGAGAGGAGAAGTGCGGCACACCTGGGCATGTGCTTTTATTGATGTCTCTGATTTCTGAAAACTTTCCAATCTGATTCTGAAAAACAGTATTTTCATAGTTCTTTTCTTTCCTAGAATAATTCATAACCTGATAGAACCATAGAAAAATTAGGGCTCATTTAGCACATTAAGAGGGAGTTGAGAAAATGGAGGACTGTAAAGAGATTTCCGTTTTATTCCATTTCCATCAGTGATTCTCTTTTCCCCACTATTTAATAGATGAATGTTCTTGAATAATCTGCCCCCTTTCTCCCTCTAGACTCATAATTCAGCCTCCAGTTATAAACAGATTTACTCTTAAATTTTATCATAAGTGCTGGATTCTTTCCCTCCCTATAATATTAGACCTCCAACTATCTATGACATGTATACTTACAAGTTTCACCAGAACCTAAAACTCAACATGGTTAAAATGGAAATCATTTTCCTTCATTCCTTCCCAACCTCTCTATCACTATTATCAGCATTGTCATTTTTAGAGGTTCCCTGTCGTAAACTGTTTTTAATTGCAAAACATTTTAAACATACAAAAAAGTATAAAAGAATAAAATAAGTATGTCCTTATTATTCAGACTTAATATTTTGCTGTATTTGCTCCAGATTTAAAACATGTTTACCAATCCAGTTGGACACTGCCCATCCCATTCAACTTGCACCCTCCTAAGAGGTAGCCACTACACCAAAGTCAGTTCCTCCCAGAAGGACACCCTGGACAAAGGCTGATGAGCCCATAGAACTGATGTGGGAGGTGCTAGGACACTGGGAAGAAAGTTGAGAGGTGGATCAGGGGAGGGAAGGCAGCCACTAGGGATCATTATTAAGCAAGCTTTCAGTGTGGGAACTGCAGCTTACTCCTCAGGGAAGCTCTAGGAAATGGTATAAACACACCTCAGAATGACCTTGGTCGGTGGTGAGGTGTTAGAAGCACTCACCACCCCCCACAGTGGTCACTGGGTTGCTGGGGTGGGTGGGCATTTCCAGTCCTCTGTGTGTGGGTTCTGGCAGCATGGTTTTTGACAAAAATGTTGGCTGCTGGAAGTTATGCTGATATACACAAAAATAAGGGAACCCAGGGGATGTGGGCAGAGTACTGATAGCACCTTCAACAGTGTGTATCCATCCCATTGACACTGTTCTACTCTTACTGCAATTGTTAAACATCATTAATTTTTGACATTATATAATATTATTGCTAATGTGAACAATAATGAAAATGTGGTGAAAGGCAACAATGAATATAAATACACACCAGTCAATACAAAAATGGAAGGTAGTTTGGGAACATAATTTCAGTTCAAAGAGTTATTCAACTATTTATTGAATTTATATCCTGTGCCTGATTAATCTTCACTTAACAGAAAGTAAGGAAATGAGTAAAACACATATTACAATTGATGTTTGTTTGGTTCCATGCTTCACTAGACTTTGACAGAATTTGATTTTTTCCTTTATTTTCCTTTACCTCTTACTTTAAGACTTCAGGGTTATTAGGCTTAAACTATGATTAATAGATAAGATTACAAGTCTTTGCTAAGAATATATGGGATCAAGAATGTCTTAGAATAGCATTTCCTCATTAGCTGAAATCCATTAGCCTTCTCGTGGAAGGTTTCTGTGTGCACACATACATGCATACATGTGTGCACATATGCATGCATGTGATGCATAATGAAGACCAATTTCAACCTGGGAGACGACCTGGGCAATGAGCCTGCAGTGATGTTCTAAACCACTTAGCAAAGCCAGGAATAATTTGCCTTCTTTGTACCTCACAACCAACAAGGCTCCTGATTTAACAAAATAAAACTACAAAGCAATGTTTCCTATTCCCTTTTGCAGAGACCAAGAGCATTTAAAACTATCTTTAATAATATTCCCCATATATTTTGTTATTGGACAAACACAGACCTCCCTCATTAAGAACTAGCAGGCAGAGAAAAAGCATGTCATGCGTGAAAAGATCCGACAGTCCAGTAGGGTCTTTCTGAAGAATCAGAACAAATAGTCACTTGTAAAGCAGACCCCATAAAACAGGGAAAAAAGTAACAAAAATTTCATGCCGAAATTCAAAAAGACAGCTATCAAATTTCTTATTTCAAATAATAAACTGATTTCAGAATTTGAAAACCCCATGGAGACAGTGAACAACTGAGTGGGTCTGGATCACAGGTAAACATATTAATGAAAAAAACTTCTGGAAACAGCATAAAATTTACATTTAAAAGACAAGTAATGTTTCCATACAGTAATTCTCTGCTGTTTCTCTGCCTGATCTATTTCCAAACAAAAACAAGCCTTAGGAAAATAAAATATATAACATGTCACAACCTTGAAGCAATGAGTAGGATCAGGAACAGAGAAAGAACAAGCCTCACGAAAATAAGTAAGAAAATACCTGATGTATAACAGGGGGTAAGCAGTGAATAGAATGAGGAATAGAAAAAGATCACACAGAATGCACTCTTTACCCTTTAAAAAATGCCTTCGTTAATCTATTGGAAGCTTTGGATACTCCTTGTAGAAAACTGTACATTTGTACGTAAGATTGGCATAAAATTTCACGAATTCGCCCTGGCTGGTGTAGCTCAGTGGATTGAGTGCGGGCCTGCAAACCAGAGTATCTCGGTTCAATTCCCAGTCAGGGTACATCCCTGGGTTGCAGGCCACTTCCCAGCAGGGGACACACGAGAGGCAACCATATATTAATATTTCTCTCCTTCTCTCCTTCCCTTCCTCTCACAAAATAAATAAAATCTTTTAAAAAATTTCACGAACTCATGGGCATCCTGAAGTCCCAAAGGTTTTAGTGATCGGACTATCAGCCCACAGTGGTTCATGAACACTAGGTTAATGATCCCTCCCTCAGAGAAAGCAGAGTACTCACATTGTAGAGAGGAATAGTCTTCATCACCTTGTACTGCTTGGTGGGGTCCATTTTATACAGGTGACGATCAGTGACAAAGATTGCTCGGTCTTCTACCTTACTGAATCGATTGACCTGTAAGAAAACCAACCAATAACCATATCATCTCAGGAAGAATGAGCCAAATTATCTGCCAGTAGAACTGGAGACGTGTTCTGTAACAGGTGAGGTTCCATGCACGGCCACTCTGCTGGATGCAACAGAGATCTAAAAGGAGTAGCCGTCTCTAGATTTGCAGAATTTCACAATTAAACAGGAAAAACAAGAAAAACACAAATAGTGAAAAGACTGAAAATATGTAACCTAGACAACTAGAAAGAAAAAGATAAACCACCAAACAGGAGAAAAATTTTGCAAATCATGTCTGATAAGGGACTTGTATGCAGAGCAAATACAGAATATATATTGTATCTAGGATATATAACTCAGTGACAAAAGGACAAAAGCCCCACTAAAAATGGGTTAAGAGTCTGAGTAAACATTTCTACAGAGAAGATACACACATGGCCGGTAAGCACATGAACACGTGACACGTGCTTGTCACCACTGGCCTCCAGGGAGCTGCAGATCAGAACCGCAGTGAGACACCGCTTTGCATCCATTAGGATGACCATCACAAAAAGGACAGATAATAATACATGATGGCCAGGAAGTAGAGAAACTGGAGCCCTCATCACCTCCGGTGGCACTATAAAATGATGCAGTCACTTTGGAAAACAGTCTGGCAGTTCCTCAACCAGATAAACACAGCCATGTGACCCGGAAATCCCACTCCTAGGTCCACAGAATCACGCAAACACTTGTGCCTAATGTTCATAGCAGCATTAATCATGGTAACTGCAAAAAGCAGAAACAATCCAAATGTCAACTGATGAATGGATAAATAAAATGTGGTCTATCCTTAAAATGAAATATTAGTTGGCAATAAAAATGAACATGCTATCACATGCATGAACCTTGTAAACACATGAAGTAAAATAAGCCAGTTACACAAATTGAATGGTCCCACTTTTATGAAATGTCCAGGATGCCAAGCTACAGAAACAGAATGTAGATTAGTGGTGATGCTGAGCTGGGGAAGATTTAGAGGTTTGGACAAATGACAGGTGAGGAGTGTGGGATTACTTTTTGGAGTAACAAAGACATTTAAATTGACTGTGGTAATGGAGACACAACTCATTCCATTATAAAACCTATCAGAGTAAAAAATGATCACTGCTTTCTATGAACTTGTATTCCACAGTTGTAGAATAAATATATAGAATATATGTGTAATTAAGAATGAAATAAAAAAATAACATTGAAACCAACCAGCGTAAGTGGCTTGCTAATGCGAAACACTGGACACAGCATCTCATTACTTGTTGTTTGGACAGAAAGAGGAAAGAAGGTTGGGTGATGCTTCTACTCAGTCTGTGTCTCCTCATGAAGTCGAGTTACTGTCTCTGTCTCCACTAAAAGTGCAGATTTTTCACTTAATAATTGCAAAGCTTGAATAATCTCAAGGACAGCTGACTTATAATTTTTAGACCATGGATGTAGTTATACAAATATACTTGTTAAAACCGTTTGTGTAGAACACTGTTTTATTATTTATTTATTTTTAAAAATCCTCACCCGAGGATGTGTTTATTGATTTTAGACAGAAAGGAACATGGGTGGGGGGCAGAGAGAGAGAGAGAGAGAGAGAGAGAGAGAGAGAGAGAGAAACCGTGATGTGAGAGACATCGATTGGCTGCTTCCCAACTGAGCCACACTGGGTTTTTTAACTTACAGTTGAAGTTATGTTTGGCAAGAGACTGGTTTTATTTATTAATCTTGTGATAATTAATCTAATGACTATAAGCTCACTAATACAGTTCTGATTCAGTCAATATAAAAGATACAGATTGTTTTAAATTCGAAGTATATCAAAAAAGTTGCTTTCCTTATAAAATAGTTACAAATAAGTTATCAAAAGTTATAAAAAAGATTGACAACTTCACTTTACAACAAAGTAAAAATTTTACATAAAACAGTATAATTCCTTTTTTTAATGAAGGTCAAGAAAAAGCAAAACTCTGTGGTAAAGGAAACCAGAAAAGTGATGGCCTTTGGTGGGGGTGGGACGTGGTAGGGAAGGGGCACGAGGGGGCTTTCTGGGGTGATGGAAATGTTCTGTAGCTTGATAGGGTTGTAATTTACAGGGTGTACGTACTACTCAAAACTCATTGAACTGCATACTTCTGATAATGTGTATTACCTGTATATAAATTACATACCTTGATCCAAACACACAGACAGGACAAAAACAATGTAGAATCTCAAACATCCATGACAGACTTTTTACTACCCTATTATTTCATGAACAGTAAGCTCCCTGAGGGTGGTGATCATATGGTGTCTCTGACCGTGCACCTCACAGCCTCCATAGAAGGGGGCAACTTACAGAGCATTTACTACATCATCCTCGCGGAGCAGTTGGTTCTGAGACTACTCTAAACCCCACAGGATAATTTCCGGACCTCTTCTCTACACGAGCCAACCAGTGTTGAGACTGGGAACGGTCGGGTGGGAAAACGGGAAGATGGCTGCAGCACACTGGGGAGGTTGCCTAACGTTCAGAAAAAATTCCCCAATGGCAAGTAAAAGCACAGTTGCTCAACAGCTTAAGTCCCCATTGCCCAGTTTGGTCCTGAAAAAACTTTATTTCTGTACTGAAGAAAAAGCAACTTTGAGCTTCTGGCTCTTTTATATCTGAGGTTGCAAGTTCCTTTGTGAGTAAGCTATTGCTTTAATAAAAAAGCTCTCTAATATTAGCATTACTATACTAGCTCATGTTGACTTGGAATTATTTATGCTCCTGGTTGGAACTGTTGAGATTTATTTGTATATTGGCTTTTCTCCTAAAGAGTCTTCACCATGAGTTGATTTAATTTTTCTTTTCAGAGTTGAAGTTTCATGACCGGCCGTCACTACAAGACTGCACAGTCTCAGCTCACTGACAGACCAGACGAACTGCCCTGACCGAAGCTGACCTGGAGAAACATACTTGTGCCTGTATTTGCGATGCTCTATTACTAGGCAACAGCTACCCTGATAAAATCTTTAGACTCATCATTTCATTGAGAAAAATGTCTTCCTATCATCAGAAGTCTGTAAGTGGGATTGAATTTATTTTTTCTACATTCATTAATCTAGCACATGACTCCTACTAATTAAAAAATTATAACGGTAAACATTTACTCGCACTAAGTAATTTGATAAATGTTCCCTGCTCCCAAATTTACCATGTGCATTTCTAGGCACTTTAGAAGTTGCTGATGATATACAAAGGAATGACAGAAGGCCTTTGGTTGATGTAAGAATCTGAGACTAGTAAATGGAGTTGAGACAGATACGAAACTTTCAAGTAAAAATCACTTCTTACATATATAAAGAAAATAAAACTAGATAATAGGATTGGGAGAAAATGTATATGTGTGTGATTCTGTAGAGTGCTACTTTATTAGGGAGTCAGAAAATGCTCACATTTGCAGGTAAATCTTTTTTCTAAGAGAATTAATGAAGAAACATTTTATAAATATGTAGTTAATTACCTGCTGATTAGCATGTTTCAATGTTATAGATTTGTGTAACATTTACATCACAGCACCGAGCACTAAAAACTCCTGAGGAACTACAAGGTCTGGTTTTTCAGTGTTGAGAAGAAAAAGGAAAGTAAAACAAAACCATAGAAAACCCATGCAAACCCCTCAACTGAGCAGAAGAGAAGGCATAGCTATGACCTATAAAGTCCCCATCCCTGCTTCCACGATCTAATTTTCACGATGCAAACAAAGAAGTCAGAGATTAATTTGAAAATGTTAGCACTGATAGTATATACACCTAAGTAAATAAATTAGGACAGGTAGGATGGGACATTGAAGATATATCGTTACTGGTAGAATGTAACAAACTAAAATTGAAATTTTAGTTTGAATTTTATTCAGTCTTTGTCCTCTTGCCTCATAATTTTAGAAATCAGTCAATTTTCTAAACATTTCCTCATAACCAAACTATATTTTTTGTCTCGACAAAAATGGTATCTATAATTAAGAACAAAATAGAGTTGACATGGTGAAATAATTACTCTTGGCAATAACTATTCATGTCACATGGTAAGTTTTTGCAATAGAAGTGAACTGGCACTTGTCAGAAGACTTGAAATAGGTGATGGTGGAGCGTCCACATCAGCATTTTCTAAGTTGTTTATTAGCACAACACTAGCTTTACATGATATTTTGTGCAAGAAAGGGCTCCTAGTGAAGCTGGTTTGAGGAACAATGCAAACCACAGCCGTCCCTGGGATTTATATTCATAACCCACGAATACATTAAAGACTCTGAGAATGCTGCACTGAAAGAGCATGTTCAACAGTTTAATTCAGCATTTCCCAAACGCAGTGAATTAGGGCCCCCTTTCCGAAAGCACACTCAGATTCAACAGAACACTGGTCTGTGAAACCCATGTGGGAGGACATTAATCATCATTTGTATCCATCTTAGAATATGGAGAATAGAGGATGTATAAGGTGAAAACTGAATAATAAGCAAAAGTAGTGTTCCTCATCTTTTGTGAATTCATATTGAAAAATATGAGTGTTGCAAAAATATGAAAAAAACCCCAACATTTTTGCATAATTTCACAAGGTCACACAAGAGCTGAAAACAATAGGCCACAGTGGAAGAGTGGACAGCATCTATGACAGGTCCGTGAGTTGATCTGGAAACCAACAAAACCCTTAAAGCAGCAATCTTATTGAAACTGTTTAGAAATATTACATTCCTTTTGTATGCAAAATGTAATTTCTAAAGAGAACAGGTCATGAATCTTTACCTTCTGTTTTAGCAACTCAAATCATCCTTAAAATATGACCAAGTGAGTGGGAAGGACATCCTGTAACAAAGTGAAAGCTCCAAGTCCCATAACTTAGCTAAACCAAAGTGGAAAGAAAAACTTTTCATATACATATGCAAATTTGTAAATTCAAACTAAGTTAAAATAATTATGGCACAGGGGCACTAATTTCCTTCCACTTAAATTCATGAAGTAATAGAAAAACTGGATTACAGACTATTAGATAAGATCTCATCTTATTTCTTCTATTTCCTAAACTGAAATCCTTAGCTAAAGAAAAAAAATCCCTATCATCTTGCTTTTGCCCAAACACTTCTAATGATCTGTTTATAGGTTTAGTTAGCACCACAGGGGGCCAGAGAGGAAGTTTCCCTGGAGAATGAGACCAGGGGAAAGCCCAGGAGTGAGAGCAACTATTTGCAGAAGTCCCCTGTGTTTGCGACTGTAGTTGATAGGAACTGGTGGCTTCACAGAGAATGAAAGCATAAAGAAGAGGGCTTTACTGAAATGGCGCCAAGTTTATCTTGGTACGTCCTTGGGATGAAAAAGATTCTAAAGAGGAGAAATATTATTTTGTACTGAACTTAAAACACAGGAACATGACAAAGAATTTTTCAGTTTTTATCCTGCAGGGCCCAGGGAGAGACATGCTGTCAGACATCAAACTGTCATCATGGGAACCAGAGACACCAGGCTTTTCCGTAGTGGAGGATGACTGTCAAAACCATCCAACTGTCTTTGATCAATTGTTCTGATTAATAATTCGACTTCCCAGGTATCTTGATTCTAAAAAAGAAGTATCCTAGATAGGTGAAATGAGGACTCACTAAAATGGCTGAAATGGTAGATCCCTTTGTGCTTCTGTAAATCTGGTTAGCAAAACAAAAGTCATTTGCTAATCAGTATACATCAGCTTGAGGTATACTTATAAAGTTTCTGAATCAGGACTTCAGAATTAGACTCGGGACTTTGCAACCACTCTGAGATACTGACAGCAGGCTTTCCCTGATGACATGTACCGTATTTTGCCATGTATAATGCACACCTATGGTTTTGTGCACATCATACAGGATTATACAGAATTATTACGCCCATGGTGTGATCATTATACATATGTATAATGCATATCCTTATTGTTCCCTCAAAAATTTGGGCTAAAAATGTGCATTATGCACAGCAAAATAGGGTATTTCACTCTAAGTTTAAAACCAACTGCTTCCTATTTAGTTAAAAAGTTTATATTACACTGATGATCTCTTCTTCCTTAGAATGTCTGAACACTAATAGTTATGTTTTTTTTGAACTACATCAATAAAGTTTAATCTCTTTCTTTTATTACAGTATTTGGTCAGTCCGACTAAAGATTTGTCAATTTTGTTGATCTTTAAGCCAATTCTTGAATTTGTTGCTTTTTTCCCATTATTTTTATGTCCTCTATCTGATTGATTTCTGCTCTAATCTTGATTATTTTCTTCTCCTGCTTGCTTTGGGTCAGTTTGCTTCTTTTTTTAAACCAGCTTCTTAAGGTAGAAGATTATTTTTTTAAATATATTTTATTGAGTATGCCATTACAGTTGTCCCATTTCCCCCTTCATTCCCCTCCACCCTGCACACCCTTCCCCCATTCCCCCCTTTAGTTCATATCCATGTGTCATAAGTTCTTTAGATCTATATTTCCTATACTATTCTTGCCCTTCCCCCTGTCTATTTTCTACCTACCATCTATGCTACTTATTCTCTGTACCTTCTCCCCCCTTCTCCTCCTCCCATTCACCTGTTGCTAACCCTCCATGTGATCTCCATTTCTATGGTTCTGCTCCTGATTTAGCTGTCCTCTTAGTTTGCTTTTGTTTTAGGTATGGTTGTTAATAACTGGGAGTTTGCTGTCCTTTCACTGTTCATATTTTTATCTTCTTTTTCTTAGATAAGTCCTTTTAACATTTCATATAATAAGGGCTTGGTGATGATGAACTCCTTGAACTTCACCTTACCTGAGAAGCACTTTATCTGCTCTTCCATTCTAAATGAAAGCTTTGCTGGATAGAGCAATCTTGGATATAGGTCTTTGCATTGAATGACTTGGAATACTTCTTTCCAGCCCCTTCTTGCCTGTAAGATCTCTTTTGAAAAATCAGCTGACAGTCTGATGGGAACTCCTTTGTAGGTGACTGTCCCCTTATCTCTTGCTGCTTCTAGGATGCTCTCCTTCATTTTAATCTTGGCTAATATAATTATGATGTGCCTTGGTGTGTTCCTTCTTGGGTCCAACTTCTTTAGGACTCTCTGAGCTTCTTGGATTTCCTGGAAGTCTATTTCCTTTGCCAGATTGGGGAATTTCTCTTTTATTATTTGTTCAAATAAGTGTTCCACTTGTGGCTGTTCCTCTTCCCCTTCTGGTACCCCTATAATTTGGATGTTGGAATGTTTAAAGATGTCCTGGAAGTTCTTAAGTCTCTCCTCATTTTTTAATTCTTGCTTCTTCATTCTTTTCTGTTTGGTTGTTTCTTTCTTCCTTCTGGTCCACTCCACTGATGTGAGTCCCAGTTTTCTTTCCATTACTATTGGTTCCCTGTGCATTTTCCTTCATTTCACTTAGTGTAGCCTTCATCTTTTCATCTAATTTGTGACTAAAATCAACCAGTTCTGTGAGCATCCTGATCACCAGTGTTTTGAACTGTGCATCTGAAAGTTTGGCTATCTCTTTGTTGCTTAGAAGTATTGGCTCTGGGGCTTTGAGCTGTTCTTCTGCTTCAACCATAATGTTTTGGTCTGTTTGTGCCTGTTATGTATGAGATGTGGAGCCTTAGGTGTTCACCAGGGTGGGGCGACCCATTCACTAGGTTGTGATCCTGTATGTGGGGGTGGAGTCAGAGAGGGGCAATGGCGTTTTTACTGTTCTCTCTCAGATTTTGGTCCCCTCTGCTGCTTCCCACAAGCAATTTGGACCCTTCTGGTGCTGGTTCCTGGGTGGGTGGGACTGAATATGTTCTAGGATCCTGTGGGTCTCTCCAACAAACTCTCCTGTGAAGCTGGGAGCCTCTCCTGGCACCTCAATTCCCGAAAGTTTTTCCAATCAGTGCTTTTAGGTTTTATTTCCTGGTGGTGGGGCCCTGGGTTACGTGGTCTGTCTCACTGCCTGTTTTTTTGCCTGGTTTATCTGCAGGTGAATGTGTGTCCGCGGTCAGCCAGCCACCTTGAGAGCCTTACTGGGTTTGCTCATTTCGTCCCACACCCACTCAGTCCGCTAACCACTGCCTTTTCCTGTCGGGACCCCTCTCCGCCGGCTGCCAACTGAGCCTCTCTTACTGGTCTGGATGAATGGTTTGTTGTTGTCGGACTTTGGTACAGTTCAATTTTCTGTCTGTTTTGGTTGTGTTTTTGTTTCTAAATCTTCGTCCTTAAATTTGGTTGTGCGAGGAGGTACAGTGTTTCCACCTATGCCTCCATGTTGGCTGGCAAGGTAGAAGATTATGGATATGAGATCCTTCATCTTTTCTATTGTAGGCATTGCCCTCTAAGATGGCTTCAGCTGCATCCCATGAGTTTTGGTGTATTATGTCTTCTTTTCCACGTGTTCTGACTTTCCTGTGATTTTTTTGTTTGACCATTGGTTATTTAGGAGTGTGCCATTTAATTCCCACCTAGTTTTGCATATCCTAAGTTGCTTGCTGTTATTCATTCCTAATTCCACTCCATTATGGTCAGAGAACTAACTCTGTATCATTTCAATCCTTTTAAATTTATCGAGGCTTCTTTTATGACCTACCAATACTCTTCCCCTAAACTCTCTCAAACACTATTTGTTGTCAGCATTTTAAAGTTTGCCAAACTTATACTTGAAAAATAGTATGTCATTATTTTGATCTGAATAACACTGTATTTTTTGAAAATTTGAAACAAAATACCTCTAAAATCACCTAAACCTGGACCTTTGTTGTGGGGTTAACTTTTCAATATTTTCTTAATTCTACCTTGGGATATTGGTATATTTATATCAATATCTCTTCTGAGGTCATTCTAGGCAATATTTTTCCTAAATTCATCCATTTAATATTTTGAAATTTATTTGCATAGTTTTACAAACTTCCCTTATAATTTCCTCTCTCTCTACTTTTCTAAACAAGTATCTCAGGTTTTTAACAACCAGCTGTGTCCCTTGCCTTCCACTTTCCAACTTGCACCTGTTCCCCTTGCCCAGCTGCTGCTGTCTCCAGGTAAATAACCAAGCACATCCTGCTTCAGAAAAGCAAACATATGCACAGCATACAACCCCGTTCCCTCCCTTCCAAATATCACTATGTCCTTCTCTCTTTTCCAAAGCATGTTCTTCCTCTTTCTTCCCCTATTTAAAATAGTAATAGAACACATGAAAAGTCCTCAATAACCACCACATACAAGGCAGACCAATATGTGCTATAAAAGATACACATACTGAAAATACAAATTCTTGACCTCAGGGAGGACCTGCCCCCGCCCCCATTTTTAAAAGAAATGGATATCAAAACTATCCACTTCCCTTATGAAGGCTTTACAGCCTGTCTCTAAATAAAACGGTAGCCACCTCAGACGTTCCATCACTGCCTCCTCATTGACAGGTATAGCTTACTGACAACATAGCTAATTATGTACCTACTGCTATGTTTTATTGAAGTCATTTCTAAGTAACTTTCATCTGAATCAGTCTCTTTTTTCCAAAGATCTGGTTCAAGGTCACCTTACCTTACGAACATGACAGGAAAAGAGGACGTTCATGTATTTGTCCTTCCGTTTCAGTTCATTTGCAACGGGGACAAAAGTGCCTGAGGTCTGAGGTGTATCTGGCTTCTGAAAGAAAAAGGAAACATGATAAAATGCCTATGCTGAGCATTTTGGATGGAAAGGTGAGTTTTTAGTATGCCACTTTATGACTATGCTCACCAAGGTTCCCACACGTACTTTTTATCTCCCCGTCCCAGATTGCACGCTACTAAAAAGTTGTTTTAACGCCAAAGGTCCTAGAGACACTTTAAAGTAAGGAATGGGAGAGAGGGTGAAATACACCTTTGGGAATAACTGATATAAAGGTGGCAGTTAACAATAGTTGCTGAATTATGCAAAGGAAGGTTCAAATGGTCAAAGCCAGGTTTGAGAGTATACCTAATACAGACAGACAGAAGACAGAGCACCCTTTTTAAACTGATAAGAACAGATACTACACTTGACCTTAACCAAAAGGCCAAGAAGCGATACAGAGCATCCTTTTTAAAGTGGAGGAAACACCGAATATTGTACACAGAGAAGCAATAGAATCTTTTAATTTAGTATCACTCATAGAAATTTAGTTTTGGAAGGATCAGTCTTTCTAGAAATTCTGGAGAAATTCTTGGAGAAAAATGCTTTTCTTTGTTTGTTAAGGGAGCAGAGTGATTCCACATGGCTCTTCTGGACTTACTGAAGCAAGGTAGTTGCCCTCCCAGGCCCTCTGGAGCCCAAGGTCAGCCCTTTGACCCTTCAACATTTCCATGGCTGCAACCTTCGCCCTGACCTGGGGCAGGTCTGATGCAGGTATGCTTTTGATGAGCTGAGATGCTCTCCACCTAAGTAAATAAACAAAATGTATTAGACTTCAGAAATACAATACCATTCATTCTCAAAAACAAGAATCTGTCATTAAGTAGAATTAAACCAAACTACTTGCAGGCTACCCTAAAAAAGGTAAAACGCCTCCAAAATATACGTAGCATTTTAAAAATATACAGTTTTATGTGAACAGAGATACTTGTGAAAATTGTTTTGCTGTGTGTGTGATTTGAACACTAGAACTTAGTGAATGTGGACTCCTGTAATACACACAGTTAGGGCACGGCTACTTTGGATTAATTATTCATTTGACACGTGTTTGTAGGCGTCTACTAAACTCCAGACGCTGTTCTAAGCAGTGGGGTCACAGCAGTGAGCAAACAGATGAAGGTCCTTTCTGCTAGGCGCTTCTACTCTAGAGTGGAGACGATAAAAAGGCAACAGTATGTACAAGGGGGAGACCTAAACCCCCTGGAATTTATTTATAAACATTGTGTATTTATTTTTATATGTTTGAACTTCAGTTACCTTCAAAGTACTCTCCATTTGATGTAATATACCTATGGAGATGTTTTTCCCACTGCTCAAAAACAATTCCTGAACTCATGGATTTTGATGCCTTTTAGGGCTTCTGCCATTTTTTGGTTTCACTTCTTCCATATCAGCAAAACATTTCCCTTTGAGGACTTACTTCGTTGGGGAAACAAAAATAATGTTATTCAGGGAGAGACTGGGTAACTAGGGAGAGTGGGGCATTGGGGTGATGCCATTTTTGGTCAAAACTGCTGGTTTTGGTCAAGAACATGCAGTGCAGTGTGGGCGGGTGGGCTCAGAAATCACCCATCGTGAAGTGGGCAAATGCATTGGAAGAATCTTAAAAAAAAACTTGCTGAAGCCAAATGCAGCCTCTCTACAGGCTGGTACAGTGATACAGATGGGATCCTAGAACACTCATCTAGCAAGGGAAGCCTGTATTACAAGGGGCTCACCCTCCAGAAGATAATTCCATTTTTGGGAGGGTCTCCCCTTATGATGTCGTAAGTGCTACAGAGGAAAATGAGGCAAGGAAAGCAGGCTGGGTGTGCAGCAGGGGGAAGAAACAGAGAGCTGGGTTATTTACAAAGGGTGGTCTGGGAGGCACCACTGATGAGGACACCTGAGCAGAGACCTACAGGAAGCGAAGGAGCCAGATTGTATAGGTATTGGAGCCAGAGTCTCCCAGGAAGGGAAAACTGAGTGCAAGGCTGTAAAGTGTGAGCTTGCTTGGTATGTCAGAGAACCAGCCAGGAGTCCTGTGATGATGGCACAGGAAGATCCAGAAGGAGGGAGGGAGAAACAGGAGGGGAGGTCAGAGAGAGAGCCAGGGCCAGTACCAACCTCCCCTACTCCCCCTGCCCACCCCAGGCAGGCAGGCCATTGTCAGGACTCTGGCTTTTACTCTGAATAGGATAAGAAGCCATTGGAAGTTTCTGAACAAAAAAGGGATAATAAAACCTGACTCCTGCTTTATAAGATCATTCTGATTGCTGTATGAAGAAAGGCTGCAGGGAACTGGGTTAGGAACAGGACGACCAGTTAGGAGGCTATTTCCGTAATGCACATTGGAGAGGATGGCTTGGATCCGGAGGTCAAGGCAGAGGTAGGTACTGGCTCTGGATATGTTCTGAAGGAAGCATCAATAGTACTTATTAATGGATTAGATGTGGGGGCAAGAGAACAAGAGGATTTAAAGATGACTCCAAGGTTTTTTGTCTATGCAATTAAAAGCGTAAGTTAAAAAATCAGCTTCCTGATTGAGAAAACCAAGTACAAGGACCTTTATGCTCTTAGCAGCAGCCTAACCCTACATGATACTTAGGCCATCTGTTCTGCCACAGGAGCTTGATGCAGGGAGGCTGGAAGCAAACTGAGAAATGCCTTACATCAGATGAAATAATCAAGGCCAGTGGTTCTCAAACTATGCTTCCATGGAACACCAGAATGAGATTCAGCTGAAACTGAAGAGTGGTGGTCTTTTCTCCATTTACATATGCAAAGAAAGGCTGGTTTCATCTCAGATTTTCCTGAGGTGTATTCTTGTTTCAAGATGGTGGCTTGAGTCTAAATGTTTTTTCTGACTCTCTCAATTTTCTACCAAAATAAATGAATAAATATAAAAAGAGAGACTTCTGGCCAAGATGGAGGTGTAGGTGGAAACACTGTGCCTCCTTGCACAACCAAGTTTAAAGACAACAAAGTTTTAGTAACAAAAACGCAGCCAAAACACAGAAAATTGGACTCTACGAAAGTCTGACAACAATGAACTGTTCAGCCAGACCGGTAAGAGGGGTGGAGCCAGCAGCTCTCGGAGCAGAGTCGAGCAGGAAAGATCGGTGGACTGACCCAGGAGTGCAAGCCGTGGTTGGCGGATCCCAGGTGCGGGGTGGCAACGAGCAGACCCAGTGAGGGCACAAGGTGGCTGGCTGACCACGGTCACGAATTTGAGTGCACATAAACCAAGTGAAGGAGCGAACAGTGAGACAGACCACTCAGGCTAGGGTCCCTGTGACAGGAATTAGAGCCTGAAAGCACCAATTGGAAAGACTTTTGGGGTCGAGGTGCTGGGAGAGTTCGTTGGAGAGACCCACAGGGTTCTGGAGGGTACACAAGCCCACACACCCAGGAACCAGCATCAGAAGGGTCCAATTTGCTTGTGGGAAGCGTCAGAGGGGACAGAAATCTGAGAGAGAGTACAAAACAAACACCATTGCCCCTCACTGACCCCGCCCCCACATATAGCACCACAACCTAGTGACTGGGTCGCCTTGCCCTGGTGAACACCTAAGGCTCCACATCTCATACATAACAGGCACAAACAGACCAAAACATTATGGCTCAAGAACAGCTCAAAGCTCCAGAGCCCATAACTCTAAGCGACCAAGAAATAGCCAAACTTTCAGATGCACGGTTCAAAACACTGGTGATCAGGATGCTCATAGAACTGGTTGATTTTAGTTGCAAATTAGAGGAACAAATGAAGGCTAAACTAATTGAAATGAAGGAAAATGCACAGGAAACCAATAGTGATGGGAAGGAAACTGGGACTCAAATCAAGGGAGTGGACCAGAAGGAAGAAAGAAACAACTAAACAGAAAAGAATGAAGAAGCAAGAACTCAAAAAAATGAGGACAGGCTTAGGAACCTCCAGGACATCTTTAAACATTCCAACATCCAAATAATAGGGGTATCAGAAGGGGGAAAGGAACAGCCACCAGTGGAAAACTTATTTGAACAAATAATAAAAGAGAAATTCCCCATTCTGGCAGAGGAAATAGAATTCCAGGAAATCCAGGAAGCTCAGAGAGTCCTAAAGAAGCTGGACCCAAGAAGGAACACACCAAGGCACATCATCATTACATTAGCCAAGATTAAAATGAAGGAGAGCATCCTAGAAGCAGCAAGAGATAGGGGGACAGTCACCTACAAAGGAGTTCCCATCAGACTGTCAGCTGATTTTTCAAAAGAGATCTTACAGGCAAGAAGGGGCTGGAAAGAGGTATTCCAAGTCATGAAATCCAAAGACCTATATCCAAGATTGCTCTATCCAGCAAAGCTTTCATTTAGAATGGAAGGACAGATAAAGTGCTTCTCAGATAAGACCAAATTCAAGGAGTTCATCATCACCAAGCCCTTATTATATGAAATGTTAAAGAGGCTTACCTAAGAAAAAGAAGATAAAAAAGATGAACAGTGAAAGGACAGCAAACTCACAGTTATTAACAACCACACCTAAAACAAAAGCAAACTAAGAGGACAGCTAGATCAGGAGCAGAATCATAGAAATGGAGATCGCATGGAGGGTTAGCAACAGGGGAGTGGGAGGAGGAGAAGGGGGAGAAGGTACAGAGAATAAGTAGCACAGATGGTAGGTAGAAAATAAATAGGGGGAGGGCAAGAATAGTATGGGAAATACAGAATCTAAAGAACTTGAGACACGTGGACAAAAACTAAAGGGGGGAATGGTGGGGGAGGGGTGTGCAGGGTGGAGGGGAATAAAGGGGGGAATAGGACAACTGTAATGGCATAATCAATAAAATATATTTTTAAAAATTAAAATAAATAAATAAAAATAGAGAAAAATCTGAAGCACCACTAGAAAAAGGGAGTGCTGTCGATAGACTGGAGGGTGTGAAGACTTTCTGAAGAGAGGAAGCAGATGGGACTGAGCTGATGGAGGAGCGGCTCCACGCTGAGCAATCCACTCAGCAGAAGGAGATGGGCCCTTCTCCAAGGCAGCCCCAGGAATCCCTGAGCCTGAAGCAGCAGGGGCTGGGAGCAAGGGCAGGAGGTAAGGGATTTCAAGGTGAGAGCTGTGCCAGTTCCCTGAACACAGAATGGCTGGCTGTGGTGAGATGGGCACAGCTGCCATGGCAGAGAGGGTCAGAGATGGTAGGTTGCCGAAACGACAACCGTGGAAAACGTGAAGGCTCAACAGCACAGTGAAATCCTCCTCTGTACCTTCTGTGGCCAACCAACACTCCAGTGGGACAGACTGTCCAAAGACCACTCCCAAAGAGGCTGGAAGCGGGACAGGTGGAGAGCAGTTTGTGGTCAAAGGCAAGAACACTAAGGACAGGCAGGCCCCACGATACTATGTAGCATGTTAGGCAACTGCCCCAATTAGCCCTTGAGCCCCAACTTCATTCCTATGGGGAGAGGTCCTTGCTCTGCCTGTCAGTCAGTTTTCAGCCTGTGTAGCTGGTTAGCCTGTGCCTTCTTCACTGCCCATAGTGTCTTAGGGCAAGGTCCATACCTGACCGACTCCAAAGGTATGCCTGGGAATCCGGAACCTGGCCTACACAACCATGGAGAGAGCCATGCGGGCTGCTCATCCTTTAGAGCAAACCTCCATCAAAAAATATATGTAACCAACAGCAACAGTGGCAGCCACAGAAACGGCCAGTCTGGACGACATGAGAGAGGGGACGAGGCTGGGCACAACCCGGACTCCCAGCCATCCAGAATGAAGAGCTGCTCTGAGGAACAGGGCCAGTGTAAACATGATCAGACACACACTCAGATCTTGGGAAAAACAAGCCCAAGTCGCAGTGGAGCCCGGCAGCACAGGCCTCTCAGTAACCCACAGGCCGAGACATTCAAGGGCACCTTAGAACACGGGGACTAGGTCAGGGGTTGGTAAACCAGAGCCTGTGCCAAATTTGGCCCATGGCCCTGTTTTGTGTTCTCAAGCTAAGAGTAGTTTTTATACATTTAACCAAACCAAACCAAAACGAGGTAAATATGTGACAAAGACCACATGCAGTCCAGGAAGCCTAAACGATTTACTATCTGGCTCTTTACAGGAAAAGTTTGGCTTTGAACTAGAACAACATAACTAGCAAGATTCATTCAGAGAGAGAGAGAGAGAGAGAGAGAGAGAGAGAGAGAGAGAGAGAGAGTGTGTGTGTGTGTGTGTGTGTCCAACAAACAGAACAGACACATTATGTTCAAGATGCTCACTGACTATAACCCCTAAGACGGCTGGAAGCGTCTCCGGCATCCTGACTGTCGCCATGCACCTGGAACCACGGTCAGTGCCTGCAGCACAGCAGGTTTTAGTATATATTTCCTGAATGAATTAAGTTTTATAGAAATTAATCATTTTCGCCCATACATAAAACCTCAAAATCTAAAGAAAAGCACACAGGCCACAGTGCAACATAATCGAAATCAGTAACTCTTTGCATCCATTAAAAAGATTACACAGATCTCTACTGTCATGGACAGGTCTTCAAGACTTATTTTTTTATCCTCACCCAAGGACATTTTTTTTCATTGCTTTTTAGAGAGAGAGGAAGGGAGGAAAAAAAGAGAAGGAGGGAGAGAGAAACATTGATTGGCTACCTCCTGGACATACCCCAACCGGGGATCGAACCCACGACATTTCAGTGTATGGGAGGACACTCCAACCAAGTGAGCCATACTGACCAGAACTTCAAGACTGATAATTTTAAGTCAAGTCATATAACCATATATATGCTTGTGCAGCAAAAGAGCAGAAAAAAGCCCAAAGAATATGTGACTCTGAATGCATACACACTCATAGTAAGAGCAAATATTTCTCAAGTGCTTATTACGTGTCAGGCACTATCTGAAATATTTTCTACATATTTACTCATAATCCTTTCAACGCCCTATGAGCAGGTACTATTATTATAGCCCTTTTACAGATAAGGAAACTGAGGCACAGAGAGGTTAACTAATTTGTCCAAGGTTACACAGCTGGTCAGTGGCAGAGCTGGAATACAAACCCAGGCTCCAGGGTTTGTGTTCCTCACCACTATTTATCATGTTGTCTGTTATGTGTGTCTTTTTGTAAATGCAAGGACAAAGATTTGGAAAGATACAAACTAATTGTTAATGACTGGTTATTTCTGGAGAAAGAAATAAAATGGGGAGAAACAAGTGGAGGTGTGGAGAGTTTCAACTTTATATCCTATATATTTTCACATTATGCCCTTTAAAAAATGAGGATGTATTCATGTATCACTTAATTACTTTTTAAATTATGTCAAAAATGCAGGTTACAGAAAATATAATCTATGAAAAAAAATTTACCTGTGCATTAAAAAAGCTGCCAATTCACAACTAACATTTAAAGTATTATATCTGAGAACTGAGGTGCTTTTGCTCTCAGTAATTCTGTACTGTTTGATTTTTTCTTTTCATATGCAACAATTTTTTCCAAAAAAATAGCAAATGAGATATATAGTCAATATTAAAGTTTTCTTCCCACGCATTTTTCTTTATCTTCTGATATCTGCCGCCAATTTACATGCAGTATCTCAATGACTTTGCAGTGTTCTTTGTGGGACACCATGACACCAAATGACACACTCGAGGACCATTAGCTTAGTTTATGTGACTAAATAGCTGCCTCCAAGACACAGCTAAATATATCTGGGTGTACACTTGCAACAAATAAGCTCAAAAATGAGGAAAAAGGATCTACAAATAACTAAATACTCAGATTCAGAGCAGTTTATAAAAGAATAAAGATCTGATGGAAAGATATCAAATTTTACACTGGCACATGTTTAATTATTTATTTACAGACAAAGGGAGGCAGAAAGAAAGGAAGAGAAATATCAGTGTGTGGTGGCCTCTTGTGCACCCTCCCACCACTGGGGACCTGGCACACAACCCAGGCATGTGCCCTAACTTGGAATTGAATGGGAGACCCTTTGGTTCACAGGCTGGCGCTCAATCCACTGAACTACACCAGCCAGAGATTATTTTTAAAAATGGCATGCTCTAAAACAGTTGCTTTCTCCCTTGCATTTTTAAAAAAGATTTTATTTATTTTCAGACAGAGTTCAGGGAGGTGAAGAGGGAGAGAAACATCAATGCGTGGTTGCCTCTCCAGCACCCCCTACTGGGGACCTGGCCAGCAACCCAGGTACATGCCCTAACTGGGAATACAGCCTGTGACCCTTTCGTATGCAGGCGGGTGCTCAATCTACTGAGTCACACAAGCTAGGCCTCCCTTGCATTTTAACATCACCTGGGAAGCTTTAAAAAGGACCTCTGCTTGGGTCCTACTACCAGCCCCATGAAATAGCACTCTCTGGAGGTACCACTTGGGCAGTGTCATGAATGATAAATTCCTTGTGAATTTAAGGCATGGCAGGATAGACAGCTATGTTCTGATGGGATTAACAGAAATTCTAAATTGAGTTCTGTGTGGTGATTTTAATAGTTGTTGCTACGAAAAGAAAGTTGAGTCTGCATGCACACCTCATAAAGAAAGTATGGCTCGATGCAGGGGTGGTGGAATACTGCTCTCTTGCTTCAGGAAAAAATAAATGGGTGGTTCCATTTTGAGAAGGAAAGAGAGGCTCTTTGAAAGCTAAATCCACAAAACTAAAGACATAAAGTAGGAAGAAAATGTTTTAATAGCAAACAACTGAGCCAGTATCATGGTGCAAGAATTGTGACTTTATATTACACATTAGGTGTGCTGCCAGAGATGGATCCGGCATATACTAATAATTTCTTACCTATTAAAAATTGTTTGCAGAAGCTCCTCGAAACGGCGAAGAACTTTAGGAGGGGTTGGCCACTTCACGTGCTTCCCATAGTCTTTCATGGTCTTGGCACCGTGGAAGCGTCTGGCCACCTCACGGATGTATGACTTCACTTTGTAGTGCCGGTAGTATCTGATAATTGTTAGAGCTGCCTTGGTCCTCTTGTACCGCATGCGGGCCAGGGTGCCCCGCCACACCTGCATAGCAGAGGAAGGGAAAAGAAAATGTTGCTGGCAGTCTGAATAGTAGATAACTTTTAAATCATAGAGGCTCCCCTACTTATAAATTCAACTGGGGAACTTGCATGTGCCACCAAAATCACCCAGAGCCAAGGCATGTCAATTCTGCCTGCCACCAACAGATGGCGCTGGGAGCCAGATTCGTCATTTTGGTTCTGCGGTCTACTCTGGGGTGTGGGCTGAGTTTGAGGCAGTCCTGTTTTCACTTTACGGTCATGAAAAGAAGAAAGCCAAAGTACAAATATCTTTAGAAAAATATTTTAAGAATGTTGAAAGGAAACAAGTTGAGTCAGAACCAAAACCCATCAACATCTGTAGTTCTCTTATGAAACCTAGCTTTACACAGATTATATATATTAGCCACTAGCATAATGTCACGTTGGATTTCCAGATGGATTTATACACCTCCTGGGTAGCCCCTCTCCCAGGTGCTATGTAAACTCCCAAGAATTTAGGGGTATTCCTCGGGAAAGGGTAAAACAGATGACGAATACCATGTGAACCTTCATTAAAATCTTTTTGGTGCTCAGAAATCAATCGAACAATTTATAAATGTCTCAATGCCAGTTTTACGCAAGGGAAGGGAAGTTAGAGATACTTATACATTTTTCAGGATCCTCTGTCCAGGCTCCCACACTTCTCAGTCTCTGAAGAAAAATGAAATCTGGTGTAATCTTCATCACTAGCTCTTACCCTATGTATGCTGTCTACCACCACCCTGACTCTTTCTTCCACACTATTTCCAGTATAAACCTTTCCCTCCTTTCTTTCTTTTCTAAAAAAAAAATTATTTTCACTTACTCACTAGTCGGCTCTTGCATGTGCCCTGACTGGGGACTGAACCAGCAACCATGGTGTATAGGGACAATGCTCTAAACCATGTTAGCTACCCAGCCAGGGCCCCTTCTTCTCCTTTCTGCTACCATAGTCTCCCACACCCCAAACTATTCTGCTTTCTTTGGTAATAAATTCCTTGCACGCACTGCCATCCTGTTCCTGTTATGCACTGCTGCTTCTTAAATGGTCATTCCAATTCTTAGATTGATGGTTTTACTTCCCTCCCTGTCTCTGGCCTCTTAAGACCAAGATTTGCAACCTCTAGTTCAAAGTCTACCATATGGGTTCTCCAGACTCCCTCAGGTTTCTTTTGTTTCTTAAATCCCCAACTGTGCCCACCAGTTTCTCTCAGGAAAACTCATGCAATGCCTTTTTTATCCAGTCATCTTGGGTGTCTTCATGCAGACTCCAAAACTGGTACCATGTATTGTCATGTTCTCCTTTTTCAGCCTGCTGCCCAATGAAGATAGATTTGTGTGCATACCACATGTGGGGGGTTACCAGGGAACCCCAAAGAGGAATTAATGAGTCAGGAAAAACGATATGGAAGGGAATCATGACATGGAAGCAAACTGACAGGAACCTAGAATTCACATATAAACAAAATATACAGACAGTGGGACAATGAAAACTAATCACTGCAGGTGGCATCAGTATGGAAACCCTTTTTAGTCAAAATGGCTCTCTTCTTTGTAGCCAAAACCATCCTGCAGATGGCTTTGTTACGCCTCCACCCTAGTGCTAAAATAAAGGTCCCTTCTTTAGCATCTTGAAAAGACCAAAAGAATACAATTACAGGGTGGAAGTCTGTGATTCAGTTTCTCAAAGAAAACACATTTTTAAAGTTTCATGCTGTTTGTGGTCCCCCTTTTTTTAAGAAGAAGGAAATTAAGACTCCCTGGAGCTACATCTATATAGGAAACCAATCTTTAATTTTCAACAAGTGTTTTGCAGAGCTTTTTATTAAAATGTTTTTGGTTAGATTCTTTAATAATTTGAAAAAACATTTTATAAGTAAGTGCTTTTTAAGGTATAGGGTTTTTTTTGGACAACTTTTAAAATTTCATCTGTGTTCTTGATTTAGGTTTTGTCTAGTTGAAAAATCAAATAGCACAAAAATGCTATAAAAAGACAGCAGTTCTTCCCCTTGCCTACCTGACCCCAGCTCCCCACCTTCCAGTCCAGTCCCATTCCATGCAAACTGTTTCAACTGCTTCTTCTGTTATTTACCAATGATACACATACTGTTATTTCTTGGCTGATCCTTTTGACACCATCCAAATCATAGAATTTGGTGACTTAGCTCTCTCTTGCCATCCTCTAACCTCTCCTTTATCATCTCAATAATAATTACATTTAAAATTTTATAGTCAACATTGTACTATTATACATTAACTATGTCATATACTGCATAAATAATTTACATAGTATATATACTATTGGGAACTGCCCTGCCTGGTTTCAGAAGCTGTAACCCCTGATGGCTAAGGCTGAGTAAAGAGACCTTGGGATTATAAGCCACTAAGGAGACAAAATTTACCCTCCTGGCAGGGGTACAGCCTCTGTCCCCTTTACTTCACCCTGCTTGGCCCCTCGAGGATGGCTGGATAGTCAATGTGGGGTAAGATTCCTCAAGGGAGGAACAACCTAAGACAGGCATAGTTGCAAAGGAGCTCATCAGGGAAGGACTTAGGTAACTACAGAAAAGGGGTGATGGATCTTCATGCCTCAGCTTTATGACAGCCTGAGTCCTCATTCTATCTGTAAGAAGTCCCCTAATCTCTTGGCTGCCTTACTCTCCCCACCTGACTTAAACCTAAAACAATGCCGGAGGTGGTGTGGTCCTATGCTGGAAAGGGTGGTTCCCCTAGGGGATCAGGCCTAAGACAGAATGCATAAAATCCTGTGAAACCTGCTTTGCTAAGAATACCCTCGATTTAAATGATAAGAGTCCCAGAATAAAATGAGTTTGTTTCTCAAAGTTTTATGGCTCTTTGGTGTCACTCTGCCTATCTGACCCTGACTCAGAATAAGCTCTCGTAGTTCTCTGAATGTTATCTATTCTTTGATCATTACTGCTTGACAATGATTGATGAGCTTTATGTATATGCCCTGTATTCCTATGCAAACTAAACCCAATAAAAGCCCACCGAGAAAGAGGCTGAAGGCCTTTCTCCTCTGAGAGACTGGTCAGCCTTTATTCTCCAAGCAGACCATGTATTGGTGGACTTATTCTCATCTGTGACGGCTGGGGGAGCTTTGCTGGACTGAAGCTCCCCGACAATATACTATATTTCAAATTACATATTAATTTGATTCACCAATGTGCTAAGGAGTATAATATGACTACCCTTTCATTACTTTGTCAAGTAAATCTGCTTTTACTTATAGTTAACAGCTGTCTCATTTTAAAAGTCTGCTTTACTTTCTATATACCTACTGTTATTTTGCCAAATGCTCTAACAGACCAATCAAATGATCAGCAACAGTACTTCCAATTGTCAAGCACATCAATTGAATCTTTTCTTTGATGTTCCTTGTGTCCTTACACTCTTTGGGCCCACTGCACTATGCCTGTCCTGGGACTTTTAAAGCAACTCTTCCATGTTGAATCCCTGATTCTTGAGCTTATGTTTTTCTTTTTTCTTGGTTCTCCTCCCTCCAGTAGCTTCCAAGAAAGGGTGGATGGCCAGTAAACATCTCTTCTCTTTAATTTGAGGGTACAGAGGAGTTGCCTGAATCATTGTCTATTTCTTGGGGTGTAAGAGCCAAATAGATGAGAACAGGCTCTGGATGCAGACTGCCTGTGTTCCAGTCCTGGCCCCACCTTTACCAGCTGGGTAAACTTGGGCAGGCTTCTTAACCCCTCTGCCCCTTAGTTTTCTTATGTGTAACCATGGGGATGATAATGATGCCTATCTTGGAGTGTCCTGAGGATTATCGGAGTTGATACACATGAAACACTTGAAATAGTGCCTGGTGCATAACTGGAACTCAATATGCATTGGTTGTTATGACTATCTGAAATCTTTGTCTTTAGGAGCCTGTGGCCCCCACACCCTGCCACTTTTTTGTATGTGCAGATTTTTTGGCTTTAGTCACATGTCCGTGTGACCAGGAAAGTCTTAATGAATGTGAGCCATTTCTTGTAAGCATTTCATTTATTCCAAATAGTGTTTCACTGGGTATTATTTTATTCTTCCACTGATTATGTGGACTGGAAGTTCATGATTGATCTGCCTCATCTAGTCTTTCAGCCGCTCAAGCAGAGTGGAGACACAGCTGAGGCCTTGGGTAGCTTTGGGTCATTGAGTTCCTTGCTTAATACAAACAAAATAAATGCACCAGAGGTTTGCTTCACTGCCTGCAGTATACCATAGGCTTTGGATTAGGTTGGGTATAGATATTGTTTTCCATGTCTTGTGGAGCTTTTTCTTGGTTTGGCTGTAATAAATATTCCTAGCAGTGCTTCCTGTATCCCTTGCCCATGTACTGATGTACCAGAGGCAGGAAAGACATAAACTTCTGAACTCCTCTTGCCTATGGGAAGACATGTTCTTGATGGAAGAAAGGGTCCCCAGAGAAGGTATAGGTTATTCCAAGCTTTCCCTCTGGGTTATTTTTACACTTAAAGTCAGAACCTTGAAAAGCAGTGAGACCTTTCAGAATTCCCTTCTATACTTCTCCATGTTCCAATCTCTTTGAAAAACACTGTGATTTTTTAAAGCACCTTCTTTCAAGTTGGCCCAGTTTTTCTTTTTCTGGATGACACTTCTCAAAGTTTATGGTATGAAGTTGAGATCTCTTTTTGGTTTCAGGGTTGATGACATGTTTTTTTGTTACTTTTACATTTTTGTTAATTTCAGCAAATTTGGGGGAAAGGAATTTTGTGAACCTGCAGTTTTATCGTCAACTTTACCTGAAGTCCCTTAGGCTTTATTATTTTTTTAACGTCAGAAAAAAATAGCACTGAGTACAGAGGAGAATGATTTTATGCAAAACAAATAATTCAGGTATTTTTCCTTATAATCTAATCTTTTTTGGTATAAATAGATATGTTCCCATAAAAAATCGTGTCAATATGTGTGGGAGGACTGTTGTTGATTTTTCCACCAAGGGTC